ACTGTGTGATCTTCCACAAGTTGTTCAACTTCTCTGTGCTCAGCATCCTCTGATATCAGAGATCGGGAACTCACAGTACCAATCTCAAAGGTACTCTGAGAAGTATCTGTAATAATTATGTGACAGTTGACTAGGGCAAGGATCTCACTACTACCATCGTTACTGTAATTATTGTGGAATCGAATCAGCATGCATTGCTAAATCCCTTGGTATTTATATAAAATAACTCAAATATTGGCCAAAACAATAATGATGAAAACAGTGGAAGAACTCTGTATCTAGTCTGGACTCAAAAGCCATGTCAAGCTCCCTGCCATATCCTTCCAACTATTGAGATCGTAAGTAGTGGATGCCATGCCTGGCTTAGTATTTGTATTATCTTCTAGTCTTCAGTAGTCATTCAATTTAATACCTCAGTGCAATATTCCTAGTGTATGCTTAGGGTTTTCTTGGATGTCTGTGGGATTTGTGTACAATATTTATCTTAAATATAGATGATATAGTCCCTATGGTAAGGAGCACCAGGGGCTCAGAACACAGAGCTCTTCAGTGTGTTTCTTTTTATCAGTAGAAGTCTTTCTGCTGGAAGCACATCCGTGTGGTAGATGGACTCACACTCACACTATGTCTTACAAGGCCTTGCCTTTCCCCTTCACAGGTGTCGTACAGACTGTTTGAAGACATGGGCCTCTTTGAAGCCTTTAAAATCCCAGTTAGGGAATTTATGAATTACTTCCATGCTTTGGAGATCGGATACAGGGACATTCCTTGTGAGTATAAGCAAGATAATCCAGTGCGTGCCTGTCAGAACTGCAGAGATGTGGGAGGTCCCTCATTGGCAGTCATCAGCAGCAGACAGAGAGTTGCACATTGTGGGGATTCTGTGTGACCTCACGGTAGGGATGGCTACTGCTGGAAGCCTGTCTTCTTCATCACACAGCACCTGAGACCCTGGAGCCTCCCTCACTTTCCCTAACCTAATTTCTTTTTCCAGAAAATAGGGTCAAGATATCTCCTTCAGTTGGTGCCAGGATCAAATAGGACTATAACTTTTAAAAGGGTTGAATATGGGCCTTGCATATCTTTCATAGTTGTTTGAAATAAGATTAAAATTTAAATTTATTCTCATTAAATAATCACCTGTTTTTTGTTGAGTGAATTTAAACTTTTCTCATGGTTTCTGATCAGTTCAACAACTAAAACAAGGACAATTGATATTTTCTCAAGATAAGATAAATCTGGCTAGTGTTTAGACGGGCTGGAAGATGGTTGTTTAGTTAGTAGTATAGAGAAGAATGCTCAAGAAAAGCAAAGGGAGGGTTTCAAATAATCAGGTACATGTGAAATCTCAAGATGAGGGCACAGCCAAGGATTCCAGTTTGGATTATTGAGAAAAGTATAATACTGAAGTCATAATAAAAGGAGAGGCTAAATGTTCACATCAGATCCACTCAATCACCACATGTAAGCGTGATTATTATACAGTACTGGAGAATGTATGGAGCTGAAGAAAATCCCCAAAGACCCAAGTACAGGAGGTGTAGAAGTGTGTAGAATCCATATGACGCTTCAAAGGTATAAATACGTAGATGAAAAGCCAATCCTATTCAATCTATTAATTTGAATGCATCTTAGGAATGTGCTATGTGTGTTGGCTTTGACAGCACATGCACTAATATTGGACACCTGCCATTGAAAACCTGATTTCCCTTTGAAGTTTGCTTTTAGGCATATTGAACTTCAAAAGCTCATGTCTTGTGTAGTTATCAAGACTTGAAATGAGGTTCTAGGGGTGTAACATAGTTAGTAGAGAACTTTCCTAACAAGTCCAGGGTTCAATTCCCAGAACTGCATAAACAATGCATGGTGACACATGTCTATAATTTCTCCTGCTGAGGCAGGAGAATTAGAAATTCGAGGTCATCCTCGGCCACATAATGAATTTAAAACAAGTTTGAACTAGAGAGAGAGAGAGAGAGAGAGAGAGACTCTGTTTAAAAAGCAGAAATAAAACCAAAACAACAAAAAGGTTTAAGTTAAATTTTTAAAAAATGCTTATACTTGGACACAAATAATTGGCAAATATCTCTAAAAAGGATGGATGTGCAAGCTTAGATAGATAACATGATGATTTTAAAATATTCACATAAAAATGCAAAGCATATAGTGTGGCAGAAAAGGAGAACGAAGAATGCCGCCTGCCACAGACATGTGCTGAGAAACACGGAAAAAGCATAGGGAAAATAGACCAATTGGCTTGGGGGAAGAGAAGCTTAATGATCCTGGGTCCTTTGGGAAAGTCTGGCCACTGAGGCCATGGAAGTTGGAAGAGGGAAATGAAAAGGGGAAAGGGGTTGTTGGGGGGTGGAATCTGGCAATAAGCCTAGCTTCCTTTAATGTAACTTTCCCAGGGCCCAGCCTGGTCGGATGCCAGCAAGTGACATAAATGTTAATGCTCTCACAAGGGTTAAGGAGTTACATAAATAAACACATTCAGAAAGCTAGCCACAGGAAAACTAAAGAACAGTTATGCTCCAGACAGGATTTCCCAATTATTGTTTTATTTCCAAGTGCATTTTAGTTTTCAATCAGCAGGTTTTATTGAATTCACCTGGAAGCTACACTGCGTGACATGTGGCCATGCCACTTTGCCGTGACCTAGAACAGGGTGCTGTCTGTAGTGTCGTGTGAGACAATGCGGCGAGGGCTAGGCCAGTATTCAAGTATACAAAGAAGCTTCCAGACTCTTAGATTCTGATTTCCTATTTTTAGATTAGTGACTAATTTATTTTTGTAAACTCTTGAATAGTTCACCCATGTGAAAATAATTTATTATAATAATGATGTGTATAGGGCAAGCAAGCTGGCTCAGCGGGTGAGAGCTGAAGACCTAAATTTGATCCCACAAACTCACATGGTAGAAGGAGAAAGCTGACTCCCACAGTTGTCTTCTGACCTGCAGTGTGCTTGTATGTATGCTTTTATAGACACACACTCACAGACTCACACACACATACAAAATAATATTAAAATAAATAAATATAAATAATAAATAAATAAATGTACCTGTTGATACCATTCAAGATCCCTTTCACTTACATAGAAGAATTTATTTGCATCTACTAGGAAAGCTTTAGCTTTTGGGTAATGTTTTGAAACAATGTTGTCTCCTGTGTGTTGAAGTTAGACACTTAGACTAATGTGTGTAAGCTAGTAAACACTTTGCTCACCACAGCTTTAACTAAAATACAGACACTCACGGCTCAAACCATTTTTAGTGCTTACTTTCCTCAAGAATCATATCTGAAGACTTCCTGTAAAAGAATCCACAATTAATATTAAAAAGCTGTGGAAGGAAGGAGAAAAATGGAATTGATGAACTGTGTCCTGAGACACTGCTCACATCCTAGTGACTACGTCTTTACTCAGAGTCCCACCGGCCGCACCATTCAGGGCAAAGGGGGCATGAAATTTAACTGTCGTTCTGTGTTGATCTGAGTTCATCCAGAAGCAGCTATAGAAAGGAAAGGGTTAAGGGAGAAACTCATGAGGCAGCAGCTGATACATGTGTATATGTGTGCGATACGTAAACATATATGTGTACACATGCACATGTATAAATGATTGCTTGATGAGGAGTGCGGTTGATGGAGACCTGCTGGTTCCTCACGGTAAAGGAGGGTAGGAAGTGTTCGGTTGTGTCACTGATTCCTTTAGCAGGGCATCTTTGCTGGTGAAGGAGGAAGAAAATGTCATTCCTCAGAAGTGACATTTGGGTCTTTGTTCTAAGTTAGTTCTACCACAACTTTTTTCTTTCTTTCGGCTTCTTTGCATAGTTTTCCTTGTTCAGAAGCAAAGAAACAGAAATGTAGACACTACACAGTGAGTTCCCTTTGTATGTAGGCTTCTGGAAGAACCAGACACTGGCGTTTCCACTTTGGATATCTACCTGCACAATAAATGCTGTGGGTGTGATTTCTTGTTAACATGGAAATGATGGAGTTGGTGGAATGTCTTCCCAAAAGTGCGTGTCCTAGGAAATCTGCCAGGCCTTCCCTGAGGTGCTGAAGTGTGAGGATGGAAGTGTTTATCCAGTAGATGGCACTCTTCCTCCTTGGACCCCAGAGTTCACCAGCTGATGTGTGCCTGCCCCTTTGCGTTGTTGCAGATCATAACAGAATCCATGCCACTGATGTCTTACATGCTGTGTGGTATCTCACAACGCAGCCGATTCCTGGCCTCCCGAGTGTGATTAGTGAGCACGGATCAGCAAGTGATTCAGGTGTGTATGAACTCTACCTGTGCCCTTGCAAAAGCCAGAAACTCCGACTGTGTGTTTTATCTGCTTTCAAAGCAATCAGGGAATTCCAGGTTTACAGTTTTTAGGACTGACCATCACTTTCCCTTTCTCTCCTCAGATTCTGACAGTGGGTTCACTCACGGACACATGGGTTATGTGTTTTCAAAGATGTATCATGTGCCAGATGACAAGTACGGGTGTCTGTCCGGGAACATCCCAGCCCTAGAGTTGATGGCTTTGTATGTGGCTGCAGCCATGCACGACTATGACCACCCAGGGAGGACAAACGCTTTTCTGGTGGCCACTGGGGCCCCTCAGGTAAAGGGTCAGATGTTCATGAGGAGATAATAATTTAGCATACACTTTAGAATAAAATTACCTTTATAAATACAACTTATAAGAGGCACAAGGTCTGTAGAAACCAAGCTGTACTTAGTCCTCAGGTAAAATTCTAAGAGGTCTTGTTAATTTCCAAAGATGTCACGGTTTGTGCCAAGACACTCATGGTAGATGTCCGCCCTCATTACGTAGAAACGTCTTTTCTCAGTTGCCTTCTTAGAAGAGAATTGAACCAAATGACTAGCAGCGACTGTTCTCAGCAACGCAAAGACAACTGGAACACACGTCCCTTTCTGAAAAGACTGGAGAATCATGTTTTCTTTCATCTTTTAAGAGTATAAGAAAACTTTTTGTATTTGAAACTTATTCTTTGAAAATATTTCCATTTATTCTTAGTTTATGTATTTTCCTTGGTAGGAATTTACCATCTATCTTATGCTTTGGGGAGACTTATTTTGATCTAACAAAGTTTCCACAAATAAAAATTTTCTTTACAAAATTATATACATATATTACATATAATATAAATATATAATACAGAATTTATATGTCACAAAATACACATTATAATTGGCAAAAAAAATTTAAGAGGATAAACTTATAGGCCAGAAAATAAAATTACCCAAAAATAAGCATCAGTACACAAGGCACTGCAGTTATTTTTTAATAGTGATAACAATATGTAATTTAAGACATTCCATATTCTTATAAGCTTTTGTGATTTCTTTTTAACTGAAAAGTTGTGTCCTGTCTCCCCCTGCTTCCTCCCTAGGCGGTGCTGTATAATGACCGTTCAGTTCTGGAGAACCATCATGCAGCTGCAGCGTGGAGTCTCTTCATGTCCCGCCCAGAGTATAACTTCTTAGTTAATCTGGACCATGTGGAATTTAAGCACTTCCGGTTTCTAGTCATTGAAGCAATTTTGGCTACTGACCTGAAGAAACACTTTGACTTTGTAGCCAAATTTAACGCCAAGGTAACTTGATCCTTACCGGTATTCATTTTGTGGCTTCATTAAAAGGTGTGCTAGAATCAAAACACTGACCAAAAGTAAATTTCTGTGAGTTTTCTCTGAGAAGGACATGATTGAAATATTTATCCACATGCTCTCATATAAGCATTACTCTGAGGCCAGATGCCTAAAAAGTCGAGGTCTTGGCCATATATGTCAGACTTTGTTCTACAGAAGAATTTAAAAAATATATATATATTAGCTATCATTGTTATTTTGTTTCATTTAACTTATAATCGTTTCTACGGTGAATGAGATAAGTTAACTGACAGCAATAGAGATGAAAGAAAACTTGAAGCAGAATTTCCTGGGTCAAACATAAAAGCCCAAGTATTCACCCGTGAGAGCTTCTTATTTGGTTCTGGGAGAAGCCTCAGGCAGTAGAATATTTGCTTTGTCAACAGGAAGACCTAAGTACGACCCTGAGGACCCACACTTAAAAACTACAAACAAAAAGCTGAGCACGGTAGTGCCCATATATATGAGTGGCACAGCACTGAGGAGGCAGACGCAGGAGGCTCCAGAGTCTCACTGGCCACGCCCACACATGCACGCCTACACACATACATATGTAAGCATATGTATGCATAGCCATACAAAAGAAAACTTCTTACTGTAGTTTTATTATTGTGATGGAAATTGATACTATGTACAAACTTTAAACAAGATTTCTTGTAAATTCGGTAAGTAATAAGTACTTCATCACTGACTAATTTTTAATGAGCTGCATGACTTTTCTTTTTTAATGCAAGCTGATATTAGATCCAGTATCCAAAGTCCTGATGTTTTATGTTCTCACCCCAACACAGTAAGAAGACAATGAAATTCTGTTGTCATTTCTCATGTTCAAGTGAGACATGGAGACAGAAAATGTTCATTTTCTCACCCAAACAGGTAAATGACAGTGTTGGGATCGATTGGACCAATGAAAATGATCGCCTCCTGGTATGTCAAATGTGTATAAAGTTGGCTGACATAAACGGGCCCGCTAAATGTAAAGAACTTCACCTGCGCTGGACTGAGGGCATCGCCAGTGAGTTTTATGAGCAGGTAACTTGCAGAGCTGCGTCATCTGTCACCAGCTGCGTGTCTTTGCAGTGTGCGCGTTCATGAAAAGCTTCACTCAAGCCATAACAGCATGATCACTCCGCCTTATATTCATGATTGTACCAAATAGACACTGGGCATTTTCAGAAGGAATTTTAAACTGACATGTGTAAAAATGAACTAAACTGTTGACCACTGAGGTAAAATTATTTGTAGGCATTTTGGAGAGTGATGTTATTATAACAGGGCGGTCTAGTGAGATGTCATTAACACCCTTGAAATGCTAAGCTTCTCCAGGTTTGTTTATTGTAATAAACACAGATTTAGATGTGTATATGGAAGCATACTAATTGTCTAGAGCTAAACAGCAGCAGTGCATGAAAAAGGTGTGTGTGTGTGTGTGTGTGTGTGTGTGTGTGTGTGTGTGTGTGCGCGCGCGCGCGCGCGCAAATCACCCTGGGGGCAGATATACATGATAGGTCGACTATGGTCAGATGTTAAAAGCCATTATGTAAAACTTTAAAAATAGCTTTATCAGAACATTGCTGTGAAGTTTGAGCAGGGAGACCCTCTCAAGTATTTAAGACAGGGCTGATGCAAAAGAAATGTTAGATCATTCTTCAGTGTCCTTCAGCACAGGGGTAAGGCAGCATGATGGCACGGGCTTGGAATCCCAGCACAGGGAAGCTGAGGCAGGACCTGCTGGGCCTGCAGTGTGAGGACAGAGCATAGAAGAAAGGGGCCAGAGTGTGACTTGACAAGTCTGTTCACATTACTGGGGACAGAGATCAGGCCAATGGCAAAAAATAAAAAATGTTAGTATTAAAGGTTCTCAATCAGGTTGAGGCACTTTTAATTAATAGCACTTAAATAGGGATTGGAACAAATTTTTAAGGTTTATGTAGTCAATATTCATAGGCAAAATAAAACATTTATGCTTTTAAAAATAGTAAATTACCTTTTCTAGTAATGACATCAATCGATGCAGAAAAATACGAAAGATAAGGAAAATTCACATACCCTGAATTATAATTTTATAAATTCCCTCAAGTTTTCTAGGCAATTATGATCTGTTACTTTTATTCTTGTAAATATTTGGCAGTTAGAGAGCAAAACTTATAATAAATAAAAATATTAAAAACCATGGAATCATGGAAGATACAAATCAAACAAATTCTGGGATAGTATAGCAACCTGACTTGAGCAAGAAGATGGTTTATGCTTCCAAGCAGTCAAGGCAAAATTCAAGCAGCATAGGGTCATGGTTCAGCTGGTGGCATGCTTGTCGGATGTGCAGGATGCATCGATTCAAACCCCAGCACCACTAACATGGTATACATCTGTAATTCTATTACACGGCCCCTTGAAAATGAACCAAAAACTGCACCATTAACAAACCCCAGGAACAAAGGCCTCTCTGGGCATCTTAGCCATCGGGCCGTGTCTCTGAGTGGTGACATCAAGGACTTTTTATGTGACTGTCTGGGCTATGTTGTACGTATCCACACATTAGATGCCAGGTGAATGTTGGCTTGTGTTATGTTTATACTCCTCTGTCCTTTGCCTTTTGTGAATCCCCATGTCTAGGGCGATGAAGAAGCCAGCCTCGGTTTGCCCATAAGCCCCTTTATGGACCGTTCTGCCCCACAGCTGGCCAACCTTCAGGAGTCTTTCATCTCGCACATCGTGGGGCCCCTTTGCCACTCCTATGACTCTGCGGGTCTCATGCCAGGAAGATGGGTGGATGACAGTGATGACTCAGCAGATACTGATGATCCGGAAGAAGAGGAGGAAGAAGCTGAAACACCAAACGAGGAAGAAACCTGTGAAAATAATACAGCTCCCAGTAAGCCATAAAACCCAGTTCTGATGAGATCTCCCAAGGGTGGTTTCCTGCCTCAGATTCAGAGGAATTTTATGCTTCTCATAAATCACATATTTTAAGTCCAACTATCCTTTGCTGGGTTGGGCAGTAAATAGCTGACTTCTCCCAAAGGATAGTGGTGACAGCAGAAGATGGAATTTATGACAATCAGACATCATATAAAGAGATGTTCTCACCATGGAATAGAGTTGATAATTAACTTCGGAATTTTTTAATGTTGTAGAATCTGGGTTACCATATGGACAAATTGCTGGCTTTTTTCATGGCCGAGGTAGGGATGTTAAGAGATAAAAGTTTAGATGTTTACTTAACAACTGCTCAATGCACACATCCTCTGTTCCTGGAATTTCTTTCTAGTAGATCAGCAGATACTTAGCAAGACAAACCAGTGTATCCATAATATTCTGGGTACTGATGGATACCATATATTTGGTTTGTTCTTTGTTAGTTTTTCTTACTTCTTGAGGAGATATAAATATTGCGGAGTTTTTAAATAAGTTAAGGAAAAGGGAAAAATTAATGTTTTAAAAGATCTGTAAGAAAGTGAGGGAGTGTTCCATGGAAATCTATATGGAAACTGATTTTGAGAAAAGGAGGAAGCGGTAGCTCCGAGTTCCTGCAGTGGGTCTTGAGTCAGGGAGTCAGGGTGGGTGAAGCAGAAGATAAGGGAAGGAGGCAAGGAAGAAGCCATGGGGAGCCAGATGGTAGGGCAGAAAATAGGCTCTGTGGTCACACTAGGAACGTGGCCTTTCCACTAAGCTGAGAATCAAAGGTGTCTGTGAGCTGAGCAGTTAATGAACTCAACTAACGTTTTAGCAAAGTTGCTTGGGAGAATGTTTTGGGGGGTTGGGGTAGAGATCGGGGTGTTATTTTGACTGTTGAACCTATCTAAATGACAGCTGGCTCACTTCTGTAGGGCAGTTTCAGTGCTGTGACAGTGAGATTCCATCTGTCACAATTTCATTTCTGTATCTGTAACAAATATGCTGGCAAGAAGCCACTTAGCTCACAATTCCAGGGTACAGCCCCTTGCTGAGTCACAATGGCAGGCGCTTGAAGCAGGTGGTCATGTTATATCCAGTCAAGAGCCCAGATAAGCACTTGGATGCTTGCTTGCTCGCTCTCCACGGTGCTTATGCTCAGCTAGCTCCCCTCACCCTCCTACAGTTCAGGGCTGGTCCGTGAAATGGAGCGGTCCACATTCAGGACGTGTCTTCCCACTTCAGGTAAAGTTGAGGCCCGTCCTTCACAGACTTGCCCACAGGCCAACTTGAGCTACAGTTCCTCAGCTCTTTCTTCTCAGGTGAGCCTGAGTTACAAGCAAGTTAACAATGAAAACTCAGCAGTGCACCTTCACGCCTGGTAACTGGCTTTGTGTCTATCAGACAACCAGTAATCCAGCCTCAAGTGACTACAAAACACAACTCTGTCATGCCTATAGATATGCTCCCTTCTATCTCTTACAACACGGTGGCTAGTAACATAATTGGTAAAACCCACAACATTAGGTACTGTGTTTCTGTGATCATGTGAACATAGTGTGTTTCCTATTCACTTGAACAGACAGCCAAAGCAAAAGCTTAATATTTTCAAAGTTAAGCTTTACCATGAAAGCTTTACTTTTAAAGCTCTGGTTAGCTTTACCATGAAAAGATACACCTGGCATTTTTTTCTCTATTTTGATCACCGGAAAATGCAAGATTTGGTTCATGTCTACCATGAAGTAAGAAGGTTCTCTACACTGGTGTAGTCCATTCTTTCTGTATGTCTATCAGTCTGTCTGTCTATCTTTCTTATCTATCTATCATCTATCAATATATATAGATAAAGATATGTGTGTATGTATGTATAGATGATATGGATGATAGAGATGATCATCATTTAGATTATACAGATTTTTAAAAATATTTTATTTTTAATTTTTTTATTAATTATACTTTATTCATTTTGTATTCCCCCTGTAGCACCCCCCTCCCAATCCCTCCCTTCCTCCCCCTTTTCCACACATGCCCCTCCCAAAGTCCACTGATAGGGGAGGTCTTCTTTTCCTTCCTTCTGATCCTAGTCTATCAGTTCTCATCAAGACTGGCTGCACTGTCTTCCTCTGTGGCCTGGTAAGGCTGCTCCCCCCTCAGGGGGAAGTGATCAAAGAGCAGGCCAATCAGTTCATGTCAGAGGCAGTCTCTGTTCACATTACTATGAAACCCACTTGGACACTGAGATTATACAGATTTATGTATAGGTAGATATACCCTGATTTTCAGCATCACCAGCAGAATTAAAAGAACTGATTGTCAGCTCTATACTTACTTGACAGAACCCTGGGACACTGGCTTTGGGCCGATATCTTTCATCTTCTGTCCTACCTGTTAGCCTTTCTTGCTCACTCTCTCTTTCTTTCTTTTTCTCTGTGTGTGGGGGGAGGTGTCTGTCTGTCTGTCTGTGTCTGCAGGCATGCAGGTGGAAGTCAGGCAATCAAATCTAGTGTTGTTCCTCACCTTCCACTTTGTTTACCTCAGTGTCTCTTGTTCTTTATTGCTACCTGAACCAGGCTAGCTGGCTGTTGAGCTTCCATGGCTTCTCCTGTCTCTACCTCCTCTTCTCTATAGGAGCACTGAGATTATGATGCTCTGATACAACATCATCTGCAAGTGGATGACAGGATCCAAACTCAAACCCTCTCCCTCTCACAGCAAGCACTGAGCCCCATCCCCAATCTATTAGTGAACTGCATCAGGAAAAAGGAAATTTTGGGCTTTCTCTAATACTCTCTTGTCAATATATTTCTCTGATGTGTATAGAAGGAAATTGATTTTGGAATTCAGAGCTAGAACCTGAGATTTGAGATTCAAGAGTTATGTATTCATCTTTTAGTTTCTTCTTTTACTTTGTTTTCATTTCAAGCAGACAGCTGCTGCTGTGCTTATGGAGCGACAGTTCAAGGGGTGTGTCAGCTGAGCCTCTGGAAGTGCTGTTCCATAGAGTCTTGATGGAGTGCCACTTAAACTCAAAAACATGAGTAATGTGCATACCCAGGCATGGGGGAATTGAAGGGTTTGTGCCAGCACCATTATTCAGCAGGCTCAGCCTGTTCATCTAAGCTTTCATAGGCAATGTTCATCCAAACACTGGACTAGCATGCTGGCCTCTACACTGATGTGTTGTTCCCTTGGTCTTTCTGTTTCAGTCAAGTCTAGTGAAGCATCCCTGAGAATCCTCTGGATTCAGTGTCATGTGGCTTTCAGCGCTTATCTAGCCCCTGACATGAAATCTAACAGCTCTGCCAGAGCACTCAGAGAGTGTAGCTCCAGCTGCAGGATCTGTTTGTGTGCATGTTCATATGTGCACACGTGTAGGCACATGTGTGGGAACGTGTGTGTGTTTGCGTGAAGGTGCAGGTGCATGTGGAGGCCAGGGCTTAATGTCGCCTTATAATTTTTTGAGGTAGGGTTTTCTCTGTGAACTTGAAGCTCATTTATTTGGCTAGTCTGGGTAGCCAGTGAACTCCAGGAATCCACCTGCCTCCACCTCCTCAACTCTGTCATTACAGCGGCATTGTACAGGATGCATGCCAACATGACCAGCTTTTTACGTGAACGCTGGAGAGTAAGCAAGGGTCCTTGTGATTAATGCAGCAAGCATTTTACCCACTGGCCTGTCTCTCTTGCTCCCGAAAATTAGAATCTTGAAGCACCTTTGTGCTTTACCCAAAATCGTAAAGGTGAAGGGATACTAGCAGATCTAAGCGCTAGCCGTGGAATAGAATTAGTTAGGCACCTCCTCATTTTAATAAAGAAGAAAATAAGATTAACTGTAAGCAACGTGGCAAGGCTGTAAGAGCCTGAGATGGAACGTGTGCAAGTTTCTTCATTTTTAACTCCATTGCTCTTGAGCTCTTCGTAATTTTCATTTCAGAACTCATATTGGCTGGGGCGTTTGCTTTGATTTAGCCTGTTCTTAGATTTCAGGGGGAAAAATATTAAATAGCCACTGGTGAGTGAGTTCTACAGTTCATAAAACTTGGAGGTCTCCCAGGAAACAGAATAAAGTGCTGCAGTGTGATGTCCAGGAGAGGGGGGCTTTTATCCTACCTCATAATTAAATCTGAAAGGTTCCTGGGGTGAGCTAAGAGGTTTCTAATGAAGGACTAAGCTGTGTTTAGAATCCAGTAAGGATAGGCGCTTTGTTCTCTTTTCAAAAGGTCCCAGTGCTGAATAACTTGGCTCCTAGCAGGCCAGCTTCAGACCACCTGCAGATTCTAATCTACGCAAATTTATTTGGTACAAACTTTCTTCTACGTCACTTGGTTCAGCATAATTCCAGAGAGGTTTATTGCTAATGTTTAACAGCCTTCTAAGAGAACAGCTGCTCTCCAGGGGCCTTCCCCAAAAGGAAAACAAGAGAGTGGGGGTTGGAATGGAGCCTTCCCTGCGAATGTGCACACTGTGGGCAGTAGAGAGTTTATCACTCTATTTCTAACCTGTCAGCCCTGTGGTTCAAAACATTTGGGTAAAAAGTATATTCGGGGTTGGAGGAATGGCTCAGCACTTAGGACCCTGTGTGGTTCTTGCAAAGGACCTGGATTCAGTTCCCATCACCCACAAGGCAAGTGCACATGCTCTCAAGTGGGTTTACATACGTGCATATAGATAAAAATAAATCATTTGCATTCATTACATTGAAGTTCATGCTGAACCTCAACAAAACTAGAAAGGATGGCTTTGTAAGGAAAATAATTTTAATTTACTATTAAAAATAAAGTGTACTCATGTACTTTCTTCACTAGGGTAGAATGTTTTGTTACTTTTCTTGATGACCTGAAAAAGTGCTTAACAAAATCATCTTAAGGAGATAGGGTTTACTTCAGCTCACAACTGAAAAAGATTCCATTCCTTCATGGTGGAGTAAGCATGCCAGAAGAGCTTGGAGAGGTAGGTGACATGGCATCAGAGCCCTGTGAATGCTGGTGCTCTGCTAGTCTTCTTCATTTCATTCAGCCTATAACCAGTGCCCACAGGATGGTACCATCCACATTTAGGGGAATCTTCCCACCTCAATTAACCTGATCTGGAAAAAGCCCTCACTGACATACCCAGAGGTTTGCCTGTCAGCTGACTCTAGGTCCAATTGAGTTAACGATATTAGCCATCACAAATTTAAGTGATTTTTTTTTTTGAGGGAGTATCTTGTTGGCAGGGTTGTTGGGGGTCAGAGCCTGTGCTCTGGCAGCAAGCCAGGCTCAGCCACCCATCTTAAACAAACCAAGAAATAAATCAATAAGTAAGAGCCAAAGTAGGGTTGTGTTGGCCTAGCACAGAAATGCTCTCTGCATAAGGCTGATCCCAGAACACCCATATAGAAAAGATCTGGATGTAAGTGTGAAGCTTAGCATTTTATAGTCTCTGGGGTTTGAGAACAGAAAATCCTACCCATCCAGCCAAGAATGGGTAACACTCTCCCCCTTCCTTCCTTACATCGTGTTCTTCTACCCTTTGCTTTTCTTAACTTTCATCTTTCCCTTCCCCTCCTATCTCTTACTCATCTCTTCACACACATACCTTCATTCTTGTTTAAATTCTGCCTTGGTAGGGCATTTAACATTAAATTCTAACAATATTTTAGGAAGACAAAACTAGAGATCTGATGTGTACATTGCATTTATGGTCACACCACAATGTCGGTACTGTGTTTCGCTAAGATCACCTTGCAAAGGGATGGTCCCCAGGTTGGAAGACTTAGATATGTTGCAAAGGATCAGAGAATTAATTACCAATCAGGAGCTTTCTAAAACAAAAGTTCTAAGAGGCGGGAGATCCGGATCTGGAGGTGGGAGTAGGGTGGGTCCCCTGTTTAAAATGCAGTCAAGCAAAGAGCAGCAGTGTCTTGGTTACTTTCTCATTGCTGTTATAAAATACCCTGGCAAAAATAACCTGAAATAAACAGTTTATTTTATCTCACAGTTCCAGGTTAGAGTTCATCATCATGGGAAAGTCACAGTGCCAAGATTTATAGGAAGCTGGCCACATTGCTTCCATAGTCAGAATCAGAACACAATGAGTCAGTGCTTACCTGCTAGTGCTCAGCTCACTTTCTCTTCTCATATGCCTTCCAAGATCCTGACCTAGGGAATAGTGCCACCTATGGTGGCACTTCTCAACCCTCCACCCCCTGCAGATATATCCAAAGGTCCATCTCCCAGGGGATTCAAATTTCTGTCAAGTTGACATTTAATACTAATCATTACAAACAATAAGTGTGAAGCTGTCGCAAGTGCATCTTTGTTTTAAACAGCACACTCACTAAGGTTCTGTCTCCTACCTAGGTGTGCTTGTACACAGAATGCAAGTGCCTTGAAAGCAAACTCTGAGCCTAATCAATCTTTGTTTAAAGTGTATAGAAAACATATAAGTGCTCGCCAATTGTTCAGTATCAGTTTGATTGATGAATTCATCTCATGAACAAATGATGACTAGCATAAAAAATAATTTAAACTATTTCTTTTAACTCTGTATTTATGTTACTGACTACTAAAGACTCACTAGCCCTTCCATACAGATGTATGGAGTTAAAGAGATTTAACACAGCTGGCACATCCCATGGGCACTGGCAAGCTCCAGGTTCGGTGGGGGATGCTATCTCAAAGACAAAGGTGGAAAGTGATCAAGAAAGGCTTGTGTTTCGGGGTTCAGTGGTGTAAGATTTAACGCTCTAGACTCTGACAAGCTTGTGATGCAAACTTCTGACTGCCATGCATGCACTTCCACATATACAGATACACTTATACTACATACACACCCTAAATAGTCTCAACAAAAAATATAAGCAGAACCTGGCATGGACATTACAAAATATGAACTATTATTCACATTTATCTCCCAGTAATAGTTTATTGTCATGTTCCTTTCCCATTCTAGAAAACCACACTATAGCACATGTAAAACAACTGAGACAGGTAAACAGAAAGACGGACATACAGCTATCTCTTTCATATTTAATTTCTATTTATAATATGAAAAGCAATAACCTTCATATAGGTAGCTCACAAATAGTTCAATCTGATGATTGCTGTTTTGCAGAAAAGAAAACTTTCAAAAGGAGGAAAATCTACTGCCAAATAACTCAGCACCTTCTACAGAACCACATGATGTGGAAGAAAGTGATTGAAGAGGAACAGTGTTTAGCAGGCACAGAGAACCAGTCCCTGGACCAGGCCCCTCTGCAGCATTCTTCAGAGCAGATCCAGGCTATCGAAGAGGAAGAGGAAGAGAAGGGGAAGCTAAGAGCAGAGGAGACCCTGGCTCCACAACCAGACCTGTGACCATGGGCAGACATGCTGTGTTTGCAGATAGAATGACTTGTCCCAGACACTTTCCAAGCCAGCACAACACTTAGACACATCACTGTAGAATACCAGAAGATGGGCAAATGGCTAAAGCGTTTGGGGAATTCTTCACATTTTGTGTGTTTGTTTTTACAGTGAAGGACAGCGCTGAAGACTCTACTCAAAGCTTTCACTTTGTGACACCAGCGTCTAAAGACTGTTTTATAAGAAAGAAATATATGTGTGTGTATGAATTCCCACATAGGCTCATGTAAGACTTATATTCACGTGTACACACATGCACACTGAGAGCTAGGACGCCTGACTCCACAAGGTAGGAACAGTCGCATTAGATACACAGAGGTCACTGTGATATAAGAAATCGTAAAGGACAAGAACTCATGAGGAAATGTGCAGCTTAGCGAGGAAACAAATGTAGGCCCCAGACAGAACAGCTCTTGTTCTCCCTACTGAGGGATGAACATTCCAGAGCATTGTTGGAATTCTAAAGCATCCTGCCAACTGTGTGTGTGAGTGTGTGTGTGTGTGAGTGAGGGGGGGGGGTTATTGTACATGTGTGTGCATGTGGAAAAGGAGATGTTTGTGATTTTAGTTGTTCATAGAATAGCTGTAGCAGGTGATGAAGTCCTTGTGAACATACAGAAGGACATCCTTTCTGGAGTGTCTTTGAATGGCAGCCCCCCTCCTTTTAGTTTCTAAGAAGGTTCTTTTGCAGAGGGAGGGCCTGCATGGGCCACATGATTGGTTACACTGCTACCTGCCACTTGGAGGTGCTCTGCCACCATCCTCACAATCACAAGACTAAGGCTTTCTGGTCTACTTTCTGCCTAATGAATGTATAAGGGTGTGTGTGAGTATACATGTCACTCACCTGTGATAAAATCGCCATGGAAGGGAATGGCATTCTTTACTGATGGACACCCAAGAGGAGCTGGAGTCAGCTCTTCATCAGGTAAGAGTTCTAAGAGGGTGCTGGGAAAGGCCCAGGAAATCACGTTTAACAATGATACTCCATGTCTTCTCAATGTGATGCCACAGATGCTGTAGTGAAGAAGAGAGTCAGCAGACTCACCACGGGTTCTATGGCAAGGGGTGAAGCCAAAATGCCAACTTAGGGTTTGGAAGTTGGCCTGGGGAAAGCTGACCCTTGGCAACTGTTGAAGAATGTTTGTTCTGACATCCTAAGTTGTGGTCTTCCATACACTGTGTGATGGCATATCATGGCTTTGCAGCCTGGTCCATGTTCGTGCTCCTTTTTTAAAGGAAAATTATGGGGGAGATTGGTTATTGTTTGAGGATAGACCATTGTAAGCTATTTGGGTCGTTTTGTTTTGTTTTCTACACTTGTTTATGCTGTGAGCCAAACCTCTATTTAAAAAGTTGATACTCACTTTCAATATTTTATTGGATATTATTACATATGTCATGACTAGCTACCATGATGTAAATATAAAGATTTTTTTTTGTTTCTGTAGATAGTAAACTTTTTTTAAAGAGAAAAAGGGGAAAAGGGAAACATTTTATAGTTATATTTTAATCACCATTTTTATACAATGTAGCTATCTCCAAGCCCATAGCTGGGTGTTGGTTCATTGTGGAGTTTGAGGGACACCTGCCATCTGCCTACTTGAGTTTGATTCGTGATCTGATACTCTTGTTGCTGTTAAATTAAGGTATTGCAAAGAGATAAACATTTGCTAACCAAATTAATTTGAAGTCTTTCCATGCTTGACAAAAAACAAACAAACAAAAACCTTTCTTAAACAAATTGTTAGTATTTCTCTCTAAGCTCTGTTGCTTGTAGCTCCTGGTTTAGTTCTGTATTCACAGAATTCTAGTCATCTCAGCCTCTGAGTCCTCTGCACGGATTTCTGCCTTTTCACACCCTTGATTGTTTACATTAAAAATCCCTTTGCCTCCCATACATGGGGCTTGTGCCCTTCCCCTCAAAAGCATGATTTTACGGTAATTCACAGCAGTTTTTTTTCAAATAGACAAAGATGAAATAAAGAATCAAATATTTCAAGACAGATGTTCTAGTTCACAGGACAATGCAAAGAGGATTGGAAAGATTCGGGCCTCACCCAAACAGCTAGAATGTGTCTCCATATATTTCTGAGTTAACGCCAGGGCTTCAGCATTTCACAGGTCCTGAATCATTTTTCTTTCTTGATGGTACCCATGCATCTCTGTTTGTAAATCTCCTCTGAAGCAAGAACGCTTCTGCAGTGAACCCTTCCCCTGCAATAAAAATGATAGACAGAACACTCACTTTCATGTACCCTTCACTCAGTCGCTCATTCCCATCTCCAAGTGGATGCATGTCTGTAACATAAATAGTCAAACAAGCTAAATATGAAGTAAGCAGATTGCCATATCCATTACAAGTGTATATATTGGCAGTTTGAATAAAGCTGCAGAATCCAAGTAGGAGCCAGGCTGGTTGCATCATGGGGGTCTCAGCTAACTGCCTAGTTGTGTTTGCTTTAAGGTAAATGAAGTAACAGGATAATGACCAAAGCAGTTTGAAACTATCTGTTCTAGAACTGAGCAATTCTAGAATGTTCCTGAATTGAGTAATTCATCCAGGCAGATTGAGTTTTTCTTCTTAGCAAGCACGTTGTCATTCTACTCAAACGAAAAGACAACAAACTGAAGAGAAGGGTGGAGCCCACCAAGTGTGCAATCTAAAGATCCGCCCTTGATAAATCTGAAAGGGCATCATCAAATGACATCATAAGTATTTTCCATGAATGATGTTGTCCATCTTCTTGGCAACAGCAATATTACTGTGTTCACCTCCAACTTCAGAGTTAATTTCCTGTGGTGCCAATGTATTTGATGTGATTTACTACAGTTTTATATGAGCCCATACAGGTGCCATTCGATAAACTCAGGTCTCTCAGTGAAGGGGTTTCTACGCACTTAGGGAAAGGATAGTTTTATAGATAGCCATAACATGCCAATGGTAGGAGAAATTGGAACCAGCTGCTCTCTATGGAGTAGATGCCTGTGTGTATTCTGCATGTTATCCATGGTATTATCAGCATACTAATTGAATGTCTTCATGGTGATCGAACCCAGTTGACCTTTTTGAGTAGTATTTCCTTAGCTGAAATAACTCTTTTGCTGATTTAATTAGCTGTAAGGGGGGGAAGCAAACTGTTCTCATTTATGATGACCTGGTTTGTTCTCAGTAGGACGTGAGCTCAGTAGTCAGTATGTGCTCATCTCTACGTGCCATCACCTGGCATTGAGAAAATTGCTTCTTGTTTGAGAAAGTATTTGCCTTCCTCCATCATTGAACCCTGCTGTGTTTGGGTTTTACAGCAGAACCAACGTTAATCATTGCTGCCCCTGTAGTGCCACAGAGAAAGAACTGAGTACCCTGCAAACTGTTTACGATATGTCAATATTTGCAGTCTCCCCGTGCCCTCTGCCTATCTCTCCCAGGGAACTTTCTTGCAGGTAAAAGCTGTGCAAAAGGTGTGAGACTCAGGCCTACTCTTTGTTTAAATGATGGAAAAGTATAAATTATTTTCTAAGTAATAAAAATATGAAATTATCATTGTAAATAAAGTCTAAAGTTTGAAATGACTTCTTTATAAAAGTGGAGTATTTGTGCGATGAACAATTCCTGACCAATGGGAAATGAATAATCCAGAAGTCCTGTCTGTTCTGCTTTGGGACACACTCTTGGTGCTTCCATGAAGCAGGGACCTCTACTGTCCTCTTTAGGATAGCTCTTAGAAACATAATGGAAACTATAACCATAACAAGGGGTTTGTTAGCCTTCTCCATAGTCCTGAACCCCATTGGATGCTCCCCTTGATTTTTGTGCCCTTAGTGATTAAACTGGCTTTTCAATGGCTGAAGGCTACAGTAACAGAGTTCTATGACCTTCGAAGCACAGATTAAATGAAGACTGTCTGTCTACTCTTTGGATCTGTGGTGGAGAGGGGGTAGCAAAAATTTGCATGTGAATAGTTCAGCTCCAGATAACCATAAACTTTGAAACTGAAGTCATTTTCTTACCTTATCTTGCCCTCCGACCAATAAAATTCTACAGGATTCTTTTTCTAGGTCATTCATTTCTTTCAGGAATTTAGAAAGGAAACTGAATTTGCTGATAACGGTACATTTAAAAATCTATTCAAGTGTATTCAAACTTTAGATAAGGAAAATAATTCACTGTTTCAAGCAGAAGAGATCTCAAAATTAAATTAATCTTAGAATGTCTAACTAATTAATTAATAAAGCGAAATCCATCAGTTTAGGGTCTTAGATCCTTATCATGTCAATTCATCCTCCAACAAATGCCCACGTAATTATTGAAAATTAAATTAGAAGTGGATTAAGTTTTAGCATCAATTCAACTAAGCCATACACTTTGGTCTAGGTGACTTAAATTTTGCTTTTGATGAGTGTTTATTTGTATGTATCATATGAGGGAACCATGATTAGAGAATAATAACACAGTAATATAATTATCAGTAATCTATGTTTCTACCTTTTACATTGTGTATGCTAAAACAATGTTACTTTTTATAATACTGCCTTTTGACTTACCTAAGGATTGGTATCATATTCATGCTAGTAAATTACCCTAACAATGATTAGATGTTATGACTAAGCCTTTTGACCTTTGTGTGAATACATTAAGTGTATCCTTAGATGCAAAAATGAAGTTGGTGGGACCCAATCTGCTGCTTCAAAGGGTTTTAATGCAGAAAAGACCATAGTAAACAGGCTGTGTGCTTTTGAGCCAGGCTAAAGGCTCTAAAGTAATGTTACGTCTTATCATTATGTGTTGGCATCTTAGGTGTATGTCTCCCCCCAAAAGTGTTTTGACACATTGGGAAAAACAGCCCCTTTTTAATAGACAAATGCTCACTGTGGCCATGTTCAGCCTAGATTCCTTGCTTTGGATTATGAAGTGGCTCTTTAACCATGAAAACTAACAAAAAGTACTGTTAAGTCCTTGTGTATTGTTACTGACAGTCCTTAAATTTGATTGGTTTTCTTGAAGTACCATTCTTTTAAGGTTTCTTCTTCTTTTATCATGCAAGGGAAATTTTTCAGGATTTAATGTTTTCCTAATGATATGGAAGCAAATGGTGTATAAGAGGATCAATAAGTACATAAATTGAATAAAGTACATTAAGAATTTAAGTGACTACATGGTAGCTCACCAGCCTCTAACTCTAGTTCTGGGCATCTGACACCTTCTTCTGGCTTCCATGGGCACTGCATATGCATGGTACAGACATATATGCAGGCAAAATACCCAGCTACATAAAATAAATTTGTACAAAAAATACTGAGGCATTTAGGTGCCCACATTATAATCTAAGTTTGTCTGAGTTATTCCAATGCACAAAAAAACATTATTCAGTAATTTATCATTATACAGTTAAAAAATCACATGATCTATTACCATAGATTTTATTTATTAAATTATAATACAGTTTAAAACTCAAGTTCTTCAACACTAAGAAAATTAAACATTATAAATTTTGGCTTTCACGGATGAGGGTTGGCCTTGGGTTAACGACCCTACTGTGTTCATCTGTAATGTTTGACCAAACAGCAGGGTAAAATATGAAATTCCTACATAGAAAAGTAACAGAAAACTGTTTGTAAGGCCTTGGTAATTTAAATTTCCAATCTTATGATTCATACTTCTTTCAAAGTAAACAAACTATTGCAGGAAATTCTCACTTCTTAACAACAGAAAAAAGTATGGCTCAAAGGAGAAAAGGAGTAGTTTCTCAGTAATTTTACTTCCCTGCGCCAATGCCAGCAAAGAAGGTGTAATCAGAAGTGCCCCTCTATTGGAAGAGAAAGAAGGACTGCTTTTCATGCCAGGGTCCAAGTGACTCTCACTCCATTTCCATGATGAAACCTGTAGTACAAACAAGTAGGTAAAGGCAGAAATGAAGATTACATAAAATCCTCCATGCACAATCCCTACACCTGTCCAACCTTCCCACAAACCACCTTAGATGTTTGCTCTGGAGTGAAATGACGTTGCAGGTCCATGATCCCTTCCCAGCTTCATTTAACATGGTGAGCATCTCTACTCTTTTCTGAATGTGAACAATTAGTGCTCTCAGCTGCTGCCGCCACTGAGAAGAACTTTTCCATAGTAATTATATCCCCTTGATATAGCAAAATATTCAGACGTTAATGTGAAATCAATAATAAGTGTTTTAAATTGTCCTCTTTGTATATATAAGTTGCTGATGAATAGGGGTACTGTCACGTCTCCTTTAAAATTTGAATTGGTTATTTTTCTAACTCAGAAAATCTTCATTATACCAGATATTTCATTTTAGCTATTTATACACATACTCTGGAACTATACTGTTGCTGCCATTAAAGAATAGTAGTAAGATAGCTATATGATACATAGTAATGGAGGGTTCAGTGACATTTAATATATTTATTCACCAATCACTAATTTTAAATGTGCTATGAAATATTTGCATGAGATTTTTAACATATTTGCTTGGCTTTTTTATTTATGAGTATCAGTTGACTTCATACATTTTTACAGTAGAACACATACCATATTTTTTGGACCAGTAAGGCTGATCTGTTAGCTAAAAAGCACTGGAGATAAATATATCTGAATACACATAGCCCCTTGAACTTTTTCCTGGAGGTTTTTATCATGCTAACCACAAAATAAAAATTGGTGCTTGCTTTTACACATTTTGTGAGGTCTCAAGGCAAAATACGGAAAAAAAAAATAAAAAGATTCTCTTTGTCCTTCTGTAATGATGTTAGAAATTTTAATCTGAATCCGGTGGGTTTGGGTTTGGGTTGACATGGTCAATTTCAGTTTTTTGTTCTCATAGAAAATGCATTCTGATTCTTGATTGAGCAGTTGCTTTGATCCATTATTGCTTCTTTGTGGAAAAAAAAAAAAAGGCATTGAGTGGTTCTCTAAATAGCAGCTTCTGAATATTCAATACTGTGTCATAATATTTATAACCCAGAAGGGGATGAAATTGATTTAATTTGGTGTTCCTAAAAGTGCCCATTATTTCAAATAATTGCCAACTAAAGTAATAGTGGTGGAGGTATCATTTGTAAATGACAGTTTGTAACAATGCTTTTCTTACCATACTAGGCCTGAATATATTTATCAATTAGTATCTTTGCCAAATTTATCCATTTTTAGCAACACAAAAATTTGGAACTTAAATGATTGTTTTACAACTGAAATCAGTCTGGTCTTGTCACCTATATTTTGCACTTGATGTATGTAGCAATATTTAGTATCATTCCACCATAAGTATTTGTTAAGTGGCATAGGTAAAAGCTGAAAAAAGTTTTGTAAAAAATAGGATCTGTACAGAAAGAGAATTAGATAAATTATATATAATTTTATTGTTTGTTTTTTAGCTTAGAAACTATATCGATATTCCCTTTTTGCCAGAATTACTGGAAGTGCCTCTGGTTTTATATATTTACATACATATTCAAAATTATTAAAATTGTGTTATAGATGATCAATATGTATGCTACAATGTGAAGATGATGTGTAATATAAAAGTGATTATGTGATATCATGTTTATTGTAATTATTTGTGTAACCTGAGTTCTTCAGTCTTCTTGGATCCAATCACAAGGGCTTAGCACCCAGCGATCTTTACTAAGGTATCCATTGACTATCTTATACATTTTCCACATCCTACAAGGGGTTGAATTCTCATGCCAACACCTATCCCTGTTGGTTGTTGTGCTCGATTCATGAGTCCCCCCAAAAGACCTCCAGGAGCCAAGTCTATTGCAAAACACATGAGGATCTTTTTATTACAAGCTTGAACTTGGGCCCACATGGTGCTCAGGGTAGGAGGGTGATTTATAGATCCCAGTCTCTCCCAGTATGCCCAAAGCAGGGGAATTCCAGCCTGGCAAGCATCTATTGGTTGAAACACAAAAGGGGATGTTGCATTTTAACTGATTGACTGTGGGAAGGTCCCCAAACCATTAACAGTCTGACCTCCTTGTTTGGCTGTCCTGGAAAGAGGGACGATCTGGGCCAGTTTCCTAGCAACTGTATTTCTATTGGGCAGAAAAGAACACAGTAAGGCTGGTTCCTCCCCACAGGTGGCTGGAAATGTCGCCACCTGTCTGGCCTTTGTTCAGGCTTGTGCTTTAAAGTTTAATCCAATAACCCAAAAAAATAATTTTTAATTCTTTGATCTCTCAGGTAACAACTTCTTAGTCACTGTCATCACCTGCCTTTTTACCACTGCGCTGCATTCTTTCTTAATCAAATAGTGTCAAACCAAAATATCCAACTTCAATCATTCAGATCATGTGAAATAAAGTGCTACTGCTTACACTATAAATAATATCACAGTTATGTGAAGACTTTGAACACACAGCATGGATAATTATAATTGTGTGTGTGTGTGTGTAATTTAGGGTTTTGCTCATAGATTAGCTTGAATTAGTCCAAACTCTGAGTATTTCACTTAACTCACAAAAACCTCAGAAACAAATGCAGCATGCAATTTTGGCCAGATAATTCACATTTCAATCCACAAGTGTTGATTATACCATTACCTATGAAATCCAATTCCCAATTCCCAAGCCCATTATTTGTGAGGTTCTGTATCTTCTCATCCCAAACTAACCTCCCTCCAAAAAGGACCACATATTCTCATTTATACTTATTTGTCTTAGACAAATAGACTCTCTCTGTATATAGTTTTTCCCTCTCTCATCCTCAGTGTGTATTTCAGGGCTATCACAGATAGCCCTGCTTAGTGCTTAATTAAAACCCAGAGAGATATCGTTTAAAGCTGTTGGCCTTTTGATGGGGCAGTCTCTCAACTATCTACTAATGTCACCCAACTTCTCTGACACTCCATCTCTCCTTGATTCTCTGCCTACCTGTCTGCTTCTTTCAGTCTCCCTTCCATCTTCTTTCTGCCTCTCTCTCTGCCCTGAAGTTATTTACGTCCATACTTCCTAACCCAGCTCAGGCCATCAGTTCTTTATTATGCCAAAAGCCACATTTCTTACTCAACTAATAGGCTAGGGAAGGTCACCTTCCCCATGGCAAATGCCTTGTTTGTAAAGATATATATATTTCCTCTTAGTCTAGCATTATTTGTTTCAAATAACAAATAACAAGGACACACTTTTCATGGCCAAAAATATAATATTTGTGGGTCACTCCAACATCTCCCCATTTTGGTTTAAAAAATTGCTTTGTCTCTAACAACAATAAACTATCTACAATAAGAACAATTATGAGAACTATCAGGGTAAAAATTACATTCACAATGTCCAGTCCATTTGTATTTGGCAACTTCGAAAAAAGTACTCCACTATCTATCCTATCTTGGTGAGTTCAATTTTTTCTTTACCTTAAATCACTTTCTTATCTACATTTAAGCTTTTATATCCTCTAATAATTACAACTTACATTTATCAATATTAAACTATCTTCTTAGATCCCACCAGCCTCAATCTCACTATGTGGCTGAGGATGACCCAGAGTTTTGCTCCATTTTCCAGATTCTGACTGGAGACATGCACCACCATAGCCTGCTTAGGAGGCACTGGGGATCAAATCTAGGCTGCCATGCATGCAAAACAAGCTTTGTCTCTCACCCCATTTTTAAAGATGCGTAGAAAGTAAGTAAGCCAACATAATTTATTTATTTTAAGATCTTTAATCCTAAACACGTTAAGAGTTGTTCCAGAAATGATTGTATATATTTACAGTTCCCATGAATGAGAACACAAGCATTTGGGGAGCTATCATTCCAGGACGCTGTCATACCTAGGTAAACAGATAACATATATTGTTTCATCATGCCCATGAAAAAATAGGTGGTTCAATGACAAAAGATAGAAAAGGTAACAGAAAAAAAAACAGCCTTCAGGAAGTAGTGAACTACTGAAAAGTTGAGTCCAAACATCTGCTGTTATGTGCTGCGGGGGCATGGTGTGTCATGGTAAAAACACACGTTAGTAAGCTCTGACAGCCTGTGGCCTATGGTTCTTTTTTTCTAAGCCAGATGTTGCAAATACTCTTTCCCAGGGGAATACGTATACAATATCTACCTTTTCTTCCCAAGAAGGAACTAAGACACAGTTTGTTTACTCTGGGGAACCAATGAGTCTACTGTGCTTCCTTACAGAGCATATATGAAGAGCGCAAGGAGGCACAGCTGAAACCCACAAAATGGAAATTGCTTGGTTTGAAAGCTAGGCTAGCCAAGCATGAAAACAGAGGCATTAGATTTATGGATTAAAAATAGTAACTGTGTCCTTAATATTAAAACCACTATCCCATTTATTTTAGTTCCTTCTTTGAAAACTTGATTATGCTTGTTTTTTATAAGTTTTAATTAATATATGAAGAATTGGTCTCATTGTGATAGTTTCTTGACTCCATGTTATTATAACTTTTTTTTTTTTTTACTTCATCTTTGACTCATTTGACCTGCTCAGGCTTTTCTCCTCCTCATGTTGGTGTCCTTCCTCTCCAAACAGATCTTCATGCTTGCTGAAATGAGACAATTTCCAAGCATGAATTGTTTTGCCAAAAGACACAATGGCTTTTTCACCCTGAAGCTGAAATCATGAGGCCATTTCACTTCTTTAGTGTCACTGTGCCACCCAAGAAAGACAGGAGGGAACCTGGTCTCTTCAGCTGAAATATGGCTTCAGATACAAACTCTTGGCATGAAAGATCATTTTGGAACTTAGAAAATTCCCTGTGGAGGTTTCCACATTGAATAATGAATATAATGAGAAACCAGAGCCACAGAATAAAAACAAGGCCCCTAAAGAACTTGACCCTGAAGGAACGAAAATTTTGGATCATGTTACAACTAAAAGCTCTTAACCAAGTGAACCAAGTGAAGTACAGAAAAAGAAACATGGAGAACAGATTTTTTTTTTTTTTTTTACTGTTCACTGATGTGGATGCTGGGACCAGAACTTGAGACCTCTGCTGAAAGACCAGGAAGTTCTAGAGACTGCTAAGCTATTTCTTTAGACCCTAGTTTTATATGCATACAAAAGCATATAGATAAATGGATGTGTCACTTTGGCCTTGCAGCTTATAGAAATTAATCCAAAATTCATCTTCAAACACTTTTTATCTACCTATCATATTATTTTTCAAAACATTATTCTAGAAATTGTCAATATGTTCAAACTAGATATAAAGAGTACAATGAACACTGTGTACCCATCACCTCGATGGCACGGATTCAGATATCTTTTCTATTGATAACGCCAAACACTTAGCACCACCCTTAAGTCATTTTTAAAATAATAGAACATGTCTTCACATTGGAACATAACCTTAAAAATAAAAACTTGTGTTTGTCTTTATTGAATGTAAAGTGGGAAATGAAAAAAGTGGGAGAGGACTCCAAATAGGAAGTAGGGAGTGAGGGCAATACAAAAGAGGAAACAGGAACAAAGAACATTATTATATTTACATAAAATTACACACAGTACACTTAAATGAATATATATGTATACATTTGATATATTCTAATATATATAGAAGAATGCTTCCAACAAGAGCCATTATCTAACAAAACTCTGAATACCAGGCACAAGAAACCACCTTTCCGGTAGTTGAACAAGGTAGTCAAAGTGACTCCCAAAACAATCTAGATGTCTCCTTTGGTTGCCTCTCAGAGGTTAAAAGTAAGCACCTTTTGATGAAGATGTCACACCCTTATGACACAGGAATTGAAAGATTAATGTTGGATCTAACATGAAACCCTTTGATCAAACCAGGAAAATACTGAAGAAGCTGCCCAGGGAGGGAAGTACAGTCCCACCTGTGAACCACAACATGACCAGCACAGTAAGATGTCCATAAAGATGCAATAGTGGGACTCCCCACCGACAGCTGTTAATTAGATTTAAGGTCCAATCAACAGGAGAGAAGTCATGCCTGATAATGAAAATCTAGCCAGCTTCTAGGAGCTGGGGCTGTCGTACCACTGCCACCTTGCTAAACCAACATAATTCCTAATTACATTCTGGGTATTATATTTATACTCCTAGGTAAGTGATGAATTTTTCATTCATTAATTAGAAGCTTGAAAACCATAATTTTTAAATTCTCTTTTGATTTTTCTGAAACATATACTTTATAAGAAGAAATAAGAAGAAATGCATTTGAATTAAATAAGAAAGTGACATACAAGTGCAGTTTTCCCCTAAGTACCTCTACCTTGAAATGAATTTAATTTGTTATTTAGCACTATCCTAAGTTGATCATGCAATGTTTTTAGGAATTTATAAGTTTTAACATTGAAATGTTTCACTTATTACAGTTATTCATATTCAATATGAATATTCTATATCTGAGTGGTCGAATCTTGCCAAGTTGGCCTCTGATTCCTCCTGTCACAAGCTAGTTTTCAAGAGATCCCTATTTTGACTATAGAATAAGACATTAGAGGCCCACAAATTATCTTTAGATCTGGAGTCAGTCAGATGGCCTCTGTGAAGAGAAGGCTAGCATTAAGGGACCAGAAAAGAAAAAAAAAACACCCCT